TTCTCAAGTGTTTAGGCACCTTGTTGACTTTAACCAATCAGCATTTGTCTTCCTAAAGTTGAAGTAGTCAGCGTCGAGTCCTACCTTGCAGCTTCTCAGGCCAGCACAGAGGTACTTACCCCACACTAGGTACTGTCCTGGTTCTAAAGGGGTGGTTCCTGTGGTGAGAACATGAATAATGTTTCTACAGTTACAGTAAAAGCTGAAAACACCCACAGCACTGTGTGTTGATGAACAGATTTGGTGATATGCAAGTCAGAAGAAGAGTTTTCTTTCAGATGCTGCAAAATATGGTCGAAAATTGATGGAGCCATTGTGTCAGCAGCATGTAAATTATTACATTTAACAATTATGCCGGTCCTAATTACGAGCTGAAATCTGGGATCTTTTTCAAACTAATCAATACTACGTCCCTCCTATTGGTGTGTCATCACGTAGAAAATCAGACTCATATCTTTAAAGGGCTTCTTTGCATTGAAGTGGAGTACATAAATCAAGGTAGACTGTGAGACACGTTAGCCACCCTGACCTGTAACCAGCAAAGATCCATCAACATGACTGATGCTAAAATAGATGCTTGGCTGATTTATTGATGCATGAGTCAGCACAATCAACAAAGTAAACAAATGTGAGATTAAACCTGGTGAAAAAAAGCTTATAAGGAAACTCAGGCAACACAGATCTTAACTTTAAATGATGGTTTCTTTACTATCTGACACACACACTTCTCTTTAGGGGTAGTAAAGCCTGCGAATGACTTCATTGTACACATCCAGTCCAGTCTAACTAGTTTGGCGTAGCCTCCTTTATGGTGAAGCTTGTGAAGAAGCAGTGAATAGGCTGAGAGTGTAGGGGTGGGATTGACTCATAGTAATTTAAGTGCTGCTGTAAAAACAACTGTTTCGACTTTACAGGGTTCCTAATGTTGCCAATCTAGAAAAAGAACATGTAATGGGCCTCCAACTAATTAGCAAAGGTTCATAAGAAGTCCTAATTAGCTAACTGGGAAATGTTACTTAGATCTTTTTTGCTGTAAGAGGATCAACTTTAATTAGACGGGATCAGCACGTTCTCACTAGATGCTGTTGCTTTAGAGTGAATTTGTCACCAATCAACACCACCAAACCAAAAAGACAGCAGTTAGAAGCTAAAGAAAAACTCTAAAACTGCAGGGATGAAACAGATGAAATGGGGAATCACTGGCAATTAGAATCTAAGATACGAGGCAAAGTGTTTAAACCGTGAAGATGTTGAAAGGGTCCAAAGAGTTGGAAACCTGAAGGGTAACGGTGATCTGAACCCTACAAACACTCGCACACAGATTCCAGCTCCCCAGGAGAGGGCAGTTAGATGGCTATACTGTCCTGACAGTAATCCTCAGATTAACTGGTTGTGGGCCTCCACCAGTCAGCCAGACGGACAGCCAGCCAACTGGAACAAAAGCAGAAATGTATGCAAACCTGAACATGTTGGTCAGTCAGCCAAGCAGAGAGCCGGCCAGTCAGACAGTCATTTAAGAAGACAGAGAGTCTACCAAGCAGCCAACCAGCTTATTATAGTGTTTCTAAAGGTTTTCAACTATTGGATCACCTCTCTTTCACCCTGCTGCAGATGTCTCTTTCATTTTGTGGCCCCAACTTTGTATTTCGAGTTGGTGCTAATTAGTTTGTGATAATTGTTCTTCACAGCTAATACAGCTGATACTGTTTTACTTTGAGTTACTTGTAAAAAGCGTCTTTACATTTCTGTATGTCTACCGGTCTCAGGAACACAGTGGATGGAAAGCAGAGTAAAAAGAAAGCACAGCTGAGGCTGATGGTAATGTTTTTAGTTGTGCAGGTGAAATTGTTCCACTGCTGTCACTCTGAGCCTGGAGAGGATGAGACTGAAGCTCACAAGGATGTTGTTGATGACGAAGACTGTTGTTTGTACTCCTGAACCCTTGTACATACACTGACTTTGCTAAGGTTACCACATATCCATATATAACATTACATACACGTAGAGGCGTGAGACTCATAGTTTTTTTATATTAGTATAATTGTGCTCATTGCAGATATGTTATCAGTAGAGTTATAGAAGGTTGTACGCTCTGGGGAAAGAGGTTCTGTTCCCACTACCATGATGGCTACTCCTGATATGAATTGTTTAGCTTCTGCTTTTAACATTATGGTAGTTTAGTTTGATTAACATTGCTCTGTTTATTATTTCATGTGCAATGAAGAACGTTTGCTCCATGTTAAAGCAATGAAGAGCAGCTTACACATAGCAGCATACATATAGGATGCTCAATGCAATGAAGACATGCTTACATACCCACTATACGATTATGAGATTTTTATTTGTGTTGATATAATTATATCAAAAGGGAGATGTCAAAAAATCTCCTGCCTGGTTGTGTTGCATCGTGAGGTGGAGGATCACTTGCAGTTGATAAAATCATGTCAAAAGGGGGAAATGTTATAATTAATTATGTTTCAAGCTATTATGTATTCTGAATCTGTATTTCTCCACTGAACATATGATCCTGTTTTGCTTTTTTTCCTACTGAGCACAATGTATGTCCTTGAAGACAACATGGCCGGTGAGCACTGGTTCATATATTGGGAGACAGCAGAAACTCCCCTATTCTATCAGCTGCTTTAGATACACGACTTTTGGACAACACACACACTTTGTATTCGATCCAAGCAGTTTCTGTTTACATTTCAGTAAACTTCCACATGAACTGTGGTTAGCCTGTTCACGTCACAGTAACCTGCCAATTAAACTCTGTTGCGTACAAGTCCAACCTCTGTACGGGGCAGTCCTAACCTGCTTTGCTTGAGAACCATGAAAAGTGACACACTACATTTATTGTCAATTTCCTGGTCCTTCAGGGTGCTACCGTGTTTCTTCCTTGATTTACTACCTCAGTAAAAAAATTACAGATGACTTTATGGTCTCTATCACTAGTTTCACAACTTTTTGAATACAGCATGGCGTTCTCTTTTGTAAATTATGGTTCCATTTAGAGCAAAAATAATCCATAATCCATGTTTTAGGGGAACTACACGGTGATTATTGTCTCACTCTGGCAGTGTCAGATCCACCACTTTTTTTGATGACCACCACTGAAATTTGATGACAACCAAATGACAAACTGAAGACTTCGAAACACAAACCACAAAGCAATGGTTGGCGTCATGGTGGCTACATCCATCTTTTGCAGTCTGTACATACACTGGTATTGCCCATAACTGTTATATTTTAAGAATTAAACATCCAATGTCAGTAACTACCTTGATGTCATAGCAGGTGGCGGTATTGAACCTTAATGCTGGTTGTCACCTATCATAAAACAGAAAAAAAAAAGAGGAAGACCTAGTAACTAGGTGGCAACGACCCCATGTGTGGTGGTCTGCCATACACAGTCATGCTGGAGGAGATGACCAACGAGAGCAAGACTACCTGCACCAGTTAAAAGCTTTTCTTTTTTTTTCAAATCCAACATAGTCATAGCAATAATATTGTAAGTGTGAATTCTTTTAGCCATGATAATCCATCCATCCATTATCTATACACCGCTTAATCCTCACTAGGGTCGTGGGGGGCTGGAGCCTATTCCAGCTGACTCAGGGTGAAGGCAGGGGACACCCTGGACAGGTCGGCCATGATAATCATGTTGTGTAAATCTGTAACAGGCCTGGGAGTATTACAATATCCCAACACAATATATTGTAATTTGGTCAACACAGTGTAAAAAGAACACATTTAGTTTAGAAAACTTAAAAAAATAAAAAGAAAAGAAAATTGAATTGTGACCTTGCACATGTTGAATGACAGCAAAGAACCCGTCACAGATCTGCTCCTGCACAAACTTTACAAAACCTTTGTTTGCTTCATGCAACTGGCAGGTCAGCAGTTAAATAATTGCCAGTAACAGTGACCTAAGAGATGAATTCAGAGGACTGAGAGCTCTACTCCCGTTACCGTGGCAATGGAGTCGTCCCCATCGCCATGCTCACCACCAACTCCGTCTCCACGGTTACGTCCTGCCAGGCACCGAGTGGAGGGAGGCTGGGCTTGGTCAGGAATAATAACAGCAAAGGGGGAACACGAGGGGAAAGAGTTTTACAAAGTACAGATTCACTGCTCAAGAACATTTTCCAAACTCCAGACAAAGTACATTCAAATAACAGTTACACTTGCTATACTTTTTTTTTTGAGAGTTTCCAAAAGTTTACTGTCCTATAAATGCAAATTAATTGATTGTGTAAGAATATATTTATCTATAGTGATGTAGCTAAGTTTTCTCTAGCTCTGGATTTCATTCTTGTTGCATCACTCCTTCTCTACCATTTGGACTCGTGACCCTTATAAAGGAGAATAGGGGTTATTGGGCACATGTTGAATATTTATTGTGTTCACTGTTGTAATGTTCTTCCTGTATTCCTATCTTGTTAACACCTTATGAAATTTGTCCTGCGACCAGGTTGAGGGTTCAACAGATCGTACTGAGGTCAGGAGTTCAATTCAAGCAAAAAATTCCAAGTTTACGACAACTCTGTCTTTTGATAGAGATGGGACACTACTCTGCCACAGCCAGGCTTTTAGTGATTTGAGCTGAAGCTTTATCACATTAAGAAAAAAAGAAAAAAGAAAGCTAGCAAAGCTTTAAGAGAGGTGCAAACAACAATTGGGGAGCGAGGCAAAGGGACAAAAGAGCTGCGAGGGCGGAGGAAGAGGAGGAGAGGGGCAAATGCTTGAGATGGTGGCTGAGAAACGAGAGGAGTTTCTGGAAAGTTTGAACAGGAGAAGAATAAGATCGGGGGGCTGACGGTGGGAGGGAGTGAAATTGAAGTGAGGGGGTCGTTTGAGGTTAGTCGCTGTTCCTTCGCCTCCCTGCAGAGACAAACGAGCCTGGGCAAGTTTTAATGTGGATTTCAAGGTGGCAACACTTACAGACCTTTTTTATAACACAAAGACAACGCTCTAATAAGCTGAAACAGACGACGTGGTTTAAACATGTTATTTTAAGTAAAGATCTTTATTCAATAGAAAAATAAGCAGCACAATTAAAATCAGTACTTTTTCAGTCAAGTTGATACATGTTCTTTTTATATTTCACTTTCATGCAGCAGCTTGTCATATTATCATTCACACATTCTTTAATGTATTTATGGTACATTTTGCCGTCCACATTTCATGTATGATGTCTTGTATTTACTGAACATGAATTTCAACAACAGAATTAACAGAACGTACAACGTGACAGGTTTTCTTCCCCCATGTTCCTCTATTAATTTTTCGTTTAGCTCATGACAAATATGTGTCAGCTAAATAATTTATCAATCAATCTAAGCTTTTCTCTTCCTGTGAGATCGTGGGCAGACCAGTAAATGTGATTTTGGCCAACTAGCAAACTGTCTATCACGTCAACCACTGGGGTTTAGTTACAAGAGGAATGTGAATGTAAGTTGGCAAAATCTTTGTTTCTATTTCTAAGACTGTGTTTTTTTCTGTCTCCCGAACATTATGGATAAAGAAGGGATCGGGTTAGTACAATACAGCTTTGCATTGCACTGTTTTTAATAATAATGCATAATTTTAGAGATGCAATGAGATATAAAGAATCTGATTTAATTCCTCTTGTACCAAAACCTTGCTCACATATTTCCCTTCGCGCTAGAAGTCGTCCCATACTGATCAGTATTCATGATTAATCTGCTCAATCTATTGTTGAAAGATTAGGTGTAAATAATTAGTGCATGATGATATTTGGTCTGTAAATAAAACTTACATGATGGACTGAGGAGCTTCATCTCTTTATTAAAGCAGATTTTAAAACTTTAATCTTTTTTTATGAAGCACACTGATGAGATGAATCCATCTTAAAGCAAATATAACTATGATGAAACTTCAGCTTAAAATATTTTTTAATGTTTTCAGATAAAGACTACACAACTGCATCTCAGTATCATTAGTATGTCTAAGAACATTGTATTGCTGTGACTAGCTGTCACTTGTGGATTTAACGGCATTTGAACATGCTTCCAAATCAGTGGAATCAAGTAATACCTTAGACTAAACATCACAAACGGAAAAATCAACATGGAAAAATGTCGGTCTTCTACCATTTTTTCAATACGGACGTGCAAGCAGCAGGTATTGTGCAAGTATTGTGTTGTGTTCCCTTTTTCTGATTCAAGTAACAAATTATATCATTCACAAAACCAACAAATCAGTCGTGACTGTTATGCTTTAAAGGTTGTAATACAGTATGTTTTTACAGTATACCTGTATTTCATTTAAATTCTTTAAACTGAATTTCTTTATATTTGTTCAATATTTATGAACAACTATAACAAAGCATTGATATTCTATTAGCATTATGTTGTCTGATATGAAAACATTTAATTTTTTTCAACAGAGCATAATGCAGGAAAAAAAGTGTTTGGGGTAATTTAGAAATTGTGTCATTACATAAATGATCCAATTGTCTGCAGCACATGTAGCAGAGCAGGCATCAAAGCTGGACAGACAGTGGTGCAAAGTCAAGCAGTGTCTTCACAGAAAGCCGCAGAAACTACTTTATGAAAGACACTGCTGGGAAGTAAAAACAAAAAAACAAAAAACAAACACTGACCCTATCATTTTTCCTTTTCAATATAATATTGTTCGATATCATAATTATTTACTCCCCAAAAAGCTCCAAATTCCATTAACAGTCAGGCTCTAACAGGTATTCTGGGCTGCATTTGGAAAACTTTTGATTCCACTGAGGAATATTTTAGATGAAAATTGTGAATAACAAATAAAAACAGAGTTATTTGATTATTTAGGAGTAGAAAAAGCACTTTCGTTTTCATACTTCCAGCATTGTAAAAAAAAAAACAAAGAACTAAATTTAAAAATAGAAATTATGATCCCTGAGACAAATCCCTCAACGATCCTTCATTAGACGCACATTCACGCTACCATCGTGCCTCTGCGACACATTTAGAATAAGACAGCTGGTCCAGGTAGAGCACAGCACACACCTGGCTGACCTTACAGTAGTTTTCACAGACGATGCTGCTGTTGTAGTTGACCATGAAGTGGCTGAAATACTTGTCAAAGGCTTTGGTCTGCGGCAGCCTGAAGCTCAGGCCCAGCTGGAGCAGGCTTTGTGGCTGCAGGTCAGTCAGTCCAAAAGCCTCAGTCATGATATATTCAAGCTTCCAGTCAGATCTTTGTTTCTCGTTGGCTTCCGTCAGATTCAAATAGTACTGCCAGATATCCTTCAGAGACAGAGAAAAGCACCAAAAGGGGGAGAGAGAGCAGAAAGAAGAAAGTCTTTGAGGCTTTTTGAATGCCAGAAGCAGTTTTTGTGTGCTGATTGACACCGTGATTAATCATCAAGAAGGACTTCTTGCTTCTGTCTTTGAGCAGTGAGATAAAAGTTAGAGTAGGTGTTTGAGCGCAGGACATTTTTAGTTTGACCTAAATTTGTCAAGACGCTTACCAGCTTGAACCTTTCTCATCTCTCTTCTGCATTGTTCAAACCGTTGTTGGCTTTTTTTTCATTTCATTTTGTTAGGTTTCATTGCAAAATAAAAATCCAAGGGACTTCCTTGGATCCTACTGGATCATTAGCAAAACAGCATCTTGACTATAAAGCTCCAGCTCCTTCAAATTTGTCACACATAATTTGTCTATCCTCTAAATTTTACCCTCCATGTGTCAGCAGCATATACAGTGATGTGATGTGAAATTAAGACCTGATTGTGTAGCACAGAACTTCTTACCATCATAGCATAATCCTTTGCGTTGTACAAGTACATGCGGAAACTTGGATTGTTAGAGTAGGGCTCCACAAAACTTCTGATCGGTGTAACAGCCGGTGACACGAAAAGAGAATTCACAGGTTTACCTACAGAACAAGGAAACACAAGTACGACATAAGTGGGTTGCACAAAGTAGTGAAAGCACTCAATACATACCAGGAATCCCTTTCCAATGAACTTCTCAGTCTGTCAGCAGAACTGTCGGTTATTTAACATTTCATGCAGAGTGGGAGCTTCTCACAATTTATCAAACTGTACTCACACTGCATGCCCATACGAGAAAGAAAAGTAGTTTGTACTTGAACTAGTTCCTCGTCTGATGATCAGCAGCAACAACTGCTTACAAAACAACACCTTGTTTGATAAGTTCACATTGTTCTTTTGAGAAATATAATTTACTGAAATTGAGGAGGTCATGATCTTAGAATGGACTCTGAGGTCTTTTCATTAGGCCCTGCATTACATGTAATACACCCTATCTTCATCCCATATTTCCTGTACCTGTCTTCAACTATCCACTGAAGGCGGTGAATGGAAAGAAAGTCAGTGCTTTCAAGAATATAAGCACAGCTTAATGAGATGGATGTCAAAGCTTTTTCTTTATTTTTCACTGTATGTAGAATTGCAACAATTTCAGCGGTGACTGCAAATCTGCTCTCATACACTAATGATAATTCTATGGCAGTGTTACGCATCTCTCTACATCTCAATGTGGGTGTTGTGTCCAATTTGACATGGTAAAATCAGGGTCAACTGGACAAGATTATAGTCAGTTACAATAATTGCACTTCAATAGTAAGAAATACTTAACATGTTTACCCACGTTTTAACATATTGCTTGTTTTTCTCTTTACCTTGTCGGTTCAGCAGCACCATGATGCTGTCTCGGTGTGTGTGGCCGTAGAAATGTCCTGCAATGACGTCACTGTACTCCCTGAAGATGGCCACTAGTCTCTCATTGTGACTCTCTCTGACAGCTGTGGTGTTTCTGGCGAAAGGCAGGTATCCCACTGGTACATGGGCTATGATGTACACCTAGAGACAGAGGTATTTCAGGTGCAGGGAAAAGTGAAGATGTGAGGATTTGAACTGAACTAGTTTTACACATAGTGTTTGTACACGTAGCCAACATTTTGATTCATGAGCTAAAAATGAGCTGCGATTTTAACAATGCCCAATGTATCAAGGTATGGTGATTAATACTGACTTAAAAACATACAAGTAGCATTAAAACACAAGCGAAACATCAGGGTTCAGCATTTAAAAACAGAATATTTTAGACCTTTTCTCGGCTCTGAGCAGCTTTCTCCAGAGTTTTCTCCAGCCACTCAAACTGTCCAGCAGGGTCTGTCATGTTACTTGAGACTTTATTTGGACCGTAGTAAAGGATAGTGTTGAGACTAATCAGCCGCAAACCAGGCTTTACCAGCTGGGAGTAGAAACCACCTGAAGGAACAGAACAAAGCAGAAAATAAAGATTTTATGATGCGAACCATAAAGTATGACCATCACATGCTATGATTTTGTTAGAATATTACGCCAACAATCAATTGGCTATAAACCAAACACTGCTCACATTAACACACAAGCATAACGAAAATCTAAACGACAACAGCTAATTGACATTTATCGTAGGACCAATAAAAAACTAGCACATTAACAGAAATTAAATTAAACAAAAATTTCAGGTACAGCATCTCAAATGTGTGGATTTCCTGCTTTTCCAGGTTATCATTGTCAAGTGAATATCTCTGGATTTTGGACTGCTGGTTTTACAAGCTCTAAATACGTGAATGAACACCACAACATTAGCAGACACCATAGTGAGTTATGCTGGTAACATGTTGCGTTGGCTATTTCACATAGTGCATGTATAGTGCTGCATTTCAAACTACCAGCTCAGCCTCCTGTCATTCTGGCCAATTTCAAAATACCAGAAGGTTTTTGGATCATAATTAAACTAGAGTCATGTATTTAATATATCTAAAACATTTGTGTAGGTCTGGCAGGCACAAGCTTGTGTACCTTGTGAGAGTGTGAGCAGAGCATCTGGCTGCAACCAGGGCTTCCAGAGCTGAGCTGCAGCTTTGTAGATGGCATTAGTGGAGGTCGGCATCTGGTCCTAAGAACAATGATGCAAAGCAACAATTTAGCCTAAATACACACTACAGCAGCACATTACACTCTAACATGTCATGACAAATGTGAAATACAGTCTCACATACAACAGCAGTTATGATACAATACATTCCCAGAATATAACGGCTTTCTAAAATAAAGTCATTTCAGTATTTTGATCATCTAGTACTTTAAATTGGATTTTGACTGATATTAGTTTTCAGATAGAGACGTTTAGTAAAAACAAGATATGATTTTATTCAAAAACCAAGTTGGTGTTCGTTGGTATCCTCCGCTGTCACAGTGTTTGTGTCATACAATTAAAAGGAGCCGTTAGAGAAAAACGTAGTCCCAGATATATGTGAAATGTTAAATTCAAGCATATCCCTTAATACTGGCACAACATGTCACCCAAACATCCTAAAAGTCAAAACATATAGAGATACAGAAAACCTTGCAATATGCTGTAATCATCTGTCCTGTACACAACATCGTTTTTTTTTTTTGTGACCAAAGCTTTAGATACTGCTTTCCTTTCTGTTCCGTGGCATAACGTTACCTGTGGCCAGTAGTCATGGTTTCCCACTGCAGGATAGACTGTCAGGTTTGGGAAGTGCTGTCTGATGGTCTGAGTCATATTACTGATCACCTGGATCACTATGTCTGTAGACAGCTCGCCTGCAGGGACATGAGGTGGACTGTCACTGTAAGACAGGGAAACAAAATCCAGCATTATGAACCCAGATAGGATAAGCAAGAGACAAGCTAAAGAGTATCAATATTGTGCATTATGTTTAGTTTAATGACAGCAGACTCCAAGTGAATGTCATTAATATGACAGTGCTAGCGTGATAAGTGCCTTTACCAGTTGGTTGTTTCATTTAATTTGCAATGAAATGTAAAAAAAAAAAAAAAATAGCTTGTGTGATTTTAAAGGTTTTTTTTTTTTTTTAAAAAAAGGGTTTCACTGAGGTACAAACTAAGCTTTAAGCTTTAAAAACAAGAGAGAAGGGCATGGGAGATTTAACAAACATCTGCAATATCTGCATGCTATTACAGTAACCTCAACATCATGCTGTCGAAAAGAGGAATAAACATGGCTTTAAATTTGCAGTAACTGATGAGAACAAAACACCCTGATTTCATCAGATCAGACCTTTATGTAGCCAAGCACAGCTTGCTGGTACAATATTGCAGACATACTGTAAATTCCACTGTACAATGGATTTCCCGTTAAGTGAAAAGGAAAACTAACGGCGTAAAGCTCAATAACAATAGAATAAAGCAAAAAATCTGCTTGCGCAGCAACTTAATCCTCGGCTCTGGGGAGTCTTTTCAAGTTTTGAGTGGGAGCCGTTCTCTTAAGTATGTTTAATAAGCTGATGAATTCCTGGCTTAGCTGATTAGTAGCAGATTAATATGGAGCGCTGTGAATGTGCTTCTGCTGAAGCTGACACTTACAACTATGCTTACTTATTCTGTGTCATTATCCCAGTGTAGTGAACAAGAGTTTCCAACACTCACAGAGAACCTCTCTTTAAGCTTCTTTTAAGTTGATAACGCCTACTCATCTTTCAAGGCCTGGAGCCTTAGTCCTTGAATGGGGCTGTATAGTTTTATTTGCTACCATTAACTACACAGTCAATCCGTTGCTCTTTGCATCTCCACTAATGTAGTCTGCTTAGTACTAGAAATGCAAATAACTGAGAGGATGCATACACAGTCACTATGGACTTTTGATGAATAAGGTTCATTCATGCTCAACCAGAGAACCCACAGGGGAGCTCATAAAGTGGAACAGTGGTTTTATCTTCCGCTTAAGTCAGGCTGTACAGAAGGAAGTGATACCTGTGTTTGTTGATACAGTACTTTATGTTTTACAGGAAACTGCATGACAACACAATAAAATCCCTGAACTTAACCTTAAACCTTACAAGCTCGCCTCTTTAAATATCCTTATTTGTAACAACTGTGGGGGAATTTTTCAAGTAGTGTGACAATGTGAATGCAAAAAAAAAAACCCAAAAAGACAACAACAACAACAACAACAACAACAAGTAGATGTGAAGATATGAGTTGGTAAAAATGTTTCCTTTTTTTCTTAAGTAAAAAAAAACAAAACCTTTATAGAAAAAAAGACGCTGAAAGAAAATAAGCCAAGTTTGAGTTGACACAACCAAAAAAAGCTCCATCAATACAGCCCTGCACTCCTGCAGCATTATTGGCCTCATGGTTAATAAAAAAGTACAATAAATTTGATGAAGAGGCATCAAAATATTGTCTTTTGCATTCGGCGCATTCATCTTTCTTGTCATTATTTGGCTGTTTTCATTAACCACAGTGCAACTCAATGCAAATGCCAATGAAGAATGGTCTGACTGCACCGAAATATCGCTCTGCAATGGGAGGATAATGCTCTGGCATGTTTGTTTTCAACTACTCACACATGTCTTGGGTCGCGCTAAGTCCAGGGAATAGACACATTAGTAACAGGAGGAAGTTGTTTTGGTGGAACATTTGAGCACTGTCACTAAAGTCACTAATTCCAACTAAAAAAAAAATTAAATTTAGCAAAAAAAAAAGGGAGCAAGAAACAAAACCAACAAAAAAGACAGACAATGATACAGAACTGTTTCTGTGTCCAACCGAGTCAGACTGTTGTTGGGACTTTTCTATACAGGTGACATCGGTGCTAATTCAGACATGACGACGGCGACACTTTCAGTTTCTATTAGATGAAGGTGCAGGAGTGCGTGTCTAATTGGGGCTATACGCACTGAGAGGTACACCACGACTGCTACAGCAATACAGGAACAGGATATGAAACCACAGCAAAACCACTGCTGTTTTTTCTATTGACTGGCTAGTCACATGATCACTGTCAATGTAATGAACTTCTAGTTGTTCAGCCTCATTTTTACATTAACGCAGCGTGACAAAGCCTTTAAAGTTAAACCCTCAAAGAAAAACAATAAGAGAAAAAGCTCGAACATATCATAACAGCGACCTGTCTCTCCTCGGTGTACTGACCCGGTCCATATGATGAAGTCCTGCGGCTGCGTGAGCGTCGCCATGTTAGTGAAGGCTGACTGGATGAGGCTGTAGGGAGAGTCACACAGGAAGTCTCCAAACATACCGGCATGGGTGGCAGGGAGACCTTTAGAGGAGAAACAAACCTTGGTGGGGTCTGGGGCCAGGTTGTAGGAGGGGTCCAGGTGGAGGTCGGTGATGTGCCAGAACCTGCCTGGATAGATGGACCGAAAAGGATCAAACAGAGCCAGATAGAAACACTATAATATAGTTATGGGATAAAAATAATAAAACTTTGCTTCCCAAATTATTGGATCAGTTTTTGTATCGGATTCCATGAATTATGTCACAACATAAAATCATTTTATTATCATTTGATCATTATCATTATCATTTTATTGTTCATTCACTTAATTTCTTATATTTGTAGAAATGGCAACAAATTTTAAAATTCCAAATAATATCACTTGCATGGCTGCACTCATGTTTGAACACTCCTTACCCCACACATTCTGTAAAATGATGCTGCATTGTCCGTACTGATATCTACCTTTGTTTGCTTTGTTTATGTCATGTATTTATTTCTTCTGACATATGTGGTTTGCTTTTGGGTTTTTTGTTTATATCAAATCATGTGTGCCACAATTATCAGCACCCTTGATGTTAATACTTTGTACAACCCCCTTTTGCCAACAATTCATTTGAGATCAGTTGAAGGTTACATTTTTCTACAAATTTCAGTGTGAGAGTATGCTTCTGCAATAAAAATTGAATTTATTTTAAGGCTTTTAACACATCTTAACCAGGGGTGCCAATTATTATGGAGGGCGCTGTACATCTCATCTGGCCTGGGAACGCCTTGGGATCCCCCAGCAAGAACTAAGAAAGCATTGCTGATGAGAGGGACCACTGGAAAGACCTGTTTCATCTACTGCATCTGCAACCCGAACCCGGATAAGCAGATGGATAGATGGACTAATGTGTGTGTGCGTGTGTATATATATATATATATATATATATATATATATATATATATGTGTGTGTGTGTGTGTGTGTATAGCTGTTTATTGTTTGTTTTGTTTTTTATTATATTTAGTTCTTTGATATAGGGCTATTTTTCTCCACCCTTTCTTTTCTTTGATGGTGTAATCATACGTTTTTTTCTCTTTTGTAATCTTACAGCACTGTTTTGTCTTTCAGTTTTCTTATTATTTGTGACCTATTGTATGATGACTATAAAAACTATCTTCGAATTAAAAATGTATACAATCAATAAACTCTCATTAGCCATTAAATGTACATCTAAGAGTGAGGTTCTTTGAGGAGACGTTTCAAGCTGAACTCCGTTTAAAAATCTTTCAATTTCCAAGTTTTTGATAGTCAGAAAACAAAACATGACTTCCACAGTCATTTTTAATGCTTCAAATAAAGCTGAAGTGTCTTAGAGCAAATTCGGCCGCCCTGATATGAGCCAAGCAGCACAAAAGGTATTATTTTTTTATTGCTTAATGACAAAACTCCACTCAAAACGTTTCACATTGTTCATCCTGCAGAGTGAAACCTATCAGCTATCAGACCAAGCATATTACTCCACGGTGTTCATTTCAGCCTGTGTACTTTTATGGACAGCAGCACAAAACAGAAATAAACCTAAGTAGGTCGAGTCCTCTTTAGAGGGACATTTATACTCACCTGTGCCCGGCAGGTAGCTGCCTCCAGTCGGAGCCGCCGATACCGGAGCCGCGCTGAACGACAGCAGCAGCAGCAAACACAACAGCTGCACCATGTTTAGACTGTTAAAGCTGACAGAACAACGTCTCACATTGTCTGATAACGTTCACAAGTTTATTGCTCTCTGACGTAAACAGGAAGTACAGCGACCAGCTGGTCATGTGACTCCTGTGTTGCGCAGCTGAGGGGGCGGAGCTTAAGAAGGAGGAAAACTCAGAAGTGTTGGACCTGAAAGCTCTGGACTGGGATGTAACTCAGTAGGTTTAAGAGATAATTTGCATATCATTTCCTTTATTCATGTTGTTATACACTTCAGGCACAAAATTTTACTTTTTTTGTTACGCTATTTGTTTGAAATCTACAGTTTGCAAGACTTTGCATAGTGAGGATCTTGTAAAATTGGAAGCAATATTATAGATTTAACTGCCCAACAAATATCGTTATTTGCAGGATACAACTAGAGTGAGTTTACCCCTGTGCAATATCACTTGCATGTCAAATGATCTCAGTAACTGCAATATTCCTAAGTTGACAAGTGCAGTATTTTCTCCCATTGACAATCAAAACAGATACTTCAGAGAGACACAGAAGTCGAAACTCAAAGCAACAAAATAAAAGAAACATCATTGAAACTAATCTATTTACAGCTGTTCCAGCTCCAATCAGCCCAACTGCATGAAAGTGGTTTTAAAATGAGCTTTCTTAGCTTTGTGAGTCTATCTGCATTTCTGCATTGTGGCTCCACATGTAAAAGAATTTCCATAGAAACTGAACACATGGATTATGAGACTTTACAACGATGGGAAACTAAACTAGAAGATCTGTAGCCAACCAAAAATCAGCGTAAACACAGATAGAGCAGTAATCAGGAGGTACAGAAGGAGCTACGGTACCACTAATCAGATCCAGTAGTCGATGTCCAGGTTTCAGTGAATGCCACTTTCGTGAACACCAAACTATTATTTTTACCGTAACAGTTTGATCCATTTCACAGCAGGATATTTGCAGCAGTGACATCATTGTACTTATGATAACATTACAGAACATAACCTTACCAGTAACCTAACTACCAAAATATGGTGACAGCCAGACTAGTTACAATAAAAGCACATTTTATTGTACCATATGTTGTTTTACGTTGATAAACTGCCATCATACATGTGCGCAGCATTTTCAATATTGAAATCATAGTTAAACCTTCAATGTTTTTTTTAAATGTATTTCTTTGTCCCAAGTTTATGATGCCTGCAGCATCTCTTCTCCTGCTCTGTTTGAACAGGCATCAGCCAAAAAGCCAAAATATTAATTGTCCCAGGATTAGTCTGTGCACATCTGATAATCCGCCTCTTGACCAGGTCGTTCTTGAAAATGAGAACCAGTTCTCAACTAACTTACCTGGTAAAATAAAGGTTAAATAATTAAATACATACATACATACATACATACATACATACATACATACATACATACATACATACATACATACATACATACATAAATAGTAACATTACTCGTAAAAAGGAAACCAAAGTATATCAGCATGAGATATCTTAACTCTCATCTTTTTCATTAGTTTTCAACGAGCCTATATACAACAACAGCATAGGGCCATTTCTTAAGTCCATCCGTCTTTTGGTTTTGTTGTGCCATTCAATGATTATCAGTGGCCCCATCCTGCCACCTCCATTAAAAGTTTTTGGAGGATCAATACTACTGACTGTCTCTTTGGCTCGTCTCTAACAGTATCTGTCTGAGCTGCTGAGTCGGGAGGTTTTAGACGTTTTTTTCACTGAAAATAGCTTCATGCTGCCCCTAAAAACGTTGCTATGAAAACTAAGAAAACAGTTGTGAACTGGACAGCTTAAAAATGAGGTAAAACTTGCTGTAAAAATACAATAGGAGCTGTTAACTCAAGTAATAAGTCTCTGTTAGTCAGACATTGTTTAAGCTTAGTCGTAGACTTAAAGAAACATTCAATGAACATTTCCATGAAAAAAAGCTGTTAGTCCAGGACTAGGCCTTATCAATGTTTGGAAAACTGAGCCTGTAAATTAGTCTCTACAAGCAAGACCCTTCAGATTATCACCATATGATCTGATACCTTATTAGAACAACAGTATTTGATTCATGGCCACTGTTAGTCTGGATAATTCACAGACTTTGTTGCCAGCAGTTTTCATGGAAGGTGTTTCTTTGGCTAAAGTTCAGTGAACATTGAGTCTTTGGCTTATCCAGACTACCAGGAAAACTGTCCCTGAAATGCTGGACTGCTGTTGAATATCTCTAATCTTTGGCACTTAAATGCACAATATTTGCTTAACTAGATTCCATTGGAGGTAAGTGATAAAATATATGCTTGGGTGAATTGACCTTTAGAGAACAGTACCTGAATAAATGTTCCTCGAAAGTAAGAACTGAAGTCATGTGAGGGTTTAAAACCAGGTTAAAATTACATTAAGGGTGTAACCGGTCCACTCTAAGGGGATAATTTGGCATATTGATGCATTTACTTTACTATATTACAGCAATTTTATGCTAAATGAACTTCTGCGATTGTTAGAAATGCACTCAAACATGCACAGCCTTTATCATAATCAGAAATTGTTGTGTGTTATTCTATTGTGGAATAAAAGTTTCTTAAGTTTCCCTCCTCTGTAGAAAGTTCAGAGGTCAAGGTTTGGAACAAATAGGGATCAAATGTTCTTCTGGCAGAATTCTGTCATCCATCATATTGACTAATGGAACTATATCAAAACAATTTAAATACAGAAAGGAAGAGGCAAAGTTTAGTTCTGTGTGTTTTTATTTCATGTTTCACACAGGGTTGCAAAGACGATCCATCCATCATGACAGAAATGTATTCATATAAAAAAAAATCTTACAAAACATGTGCAGCTTGCAGGCCTTGTGTATGTGGAGGAGGACGAAGTGCAAAGAGAAGCATACAGTCAACAATAATTATAAAATCAACACTTCTTGGCCGGTTTGAAACGCTGTCGGTCCGAGCACTCATGCCTTCTCGTAGGTACGCACCGCATGGATGTCTTCAAAGGTCAGATTCTGCAGGGGGGAGAGAAGACGGTTACTATGGTTCCTAAATTTCTCTGACGTTACAAACAGAGCAGGTTTAATGCATCAGTGCTGGTGGTGAGTGGAGAATATTTAACAACTAGTGAGGCAGCTCTGCTCCAGTAGCTGGCTGGCCCGCTGCTCGGCAGAAAGGCAATTAGAACGCTCATTTGTCACAACAAAAACAGGCTGCATTTGAAGCTTCAGACTGGCAATTTCACTATATAAAATGTGTTTTGTCACTTTTTGCTACTTATTTGTTTGCTCCATTTTTGCTTTTAATGTCATTTATTTATGCAAGGAGCTCAAAAAGACCACTTGCACCCGTTTTCGACTCTAAAATCATTCTTGAATAATGTCTTAGAAATTATGCAACTGTCCTCCCAGCATGAAGAAAATAAACTTTACTGCTCACTAACATGATATTCCCTGTATTCACCATGATTTGGATGCAGAAGAGTAGTGAAAGAGAAAAGCTGGTAGAATAAGTTTCTAACAAAGACCATTTTATATTCTGTGCTTCTAGTGATAAGAACTTGATATATAAATGTAACTGTCTTATATATCTCATCTCTTTATCTTCATTTTGGCCACAGTAAAATGTCTGATTTATTAGTAAATGTACTCCATTAGAGTCACACACACGGTAAATGTGATGTGTTGTATTGGTCTTACCATGACCATCTTGCCATCCTTGATTTCTCTGACGAACTTGGTCTCTTTGCCGTCCCACTTCTGGACGTGGATCAACTTGTCTCCGTCCAGAGTCACCGTGGACTGAAAAGAAAGGAGGAGGAGCACTTTTAACAAACGAGGTGGAAAATTAATGCGTTAAACTTCTGCCAAATGTTGGTTTATTTCCAGAGATCTCAAGATGTCAACTCTTATTGTCGACCCACAAATAGAAACAAAGGAAAATAATCATTTTTTCACTATTTGAGGAAAAAGAAAAGTTTCTTTTATTACGTATTTGGTCAAAAAAAAACTGTTGTGCAAATTAAATCTTGTGGTAAATTATATTTTGTGCAATTTATAAGTAGGATTATTTGGTTTAAAGTACAGTTAACTGTCATCTTCTTGGAAGCTCCCTCCCCTCTGCCCAGCGTCTCCAGATTAGCCACTAATCATTCAGCGCTTCAATTTGCTGTGAACCACTCTTGTGCATACAAAAAGTGGATTTTGTCCTGCTTTACTTTTTACTCACATATGCATTTCATCTTTTTTTTTTTTTTTTTAAAGTATATCCAGACAGAACACAAGAATATTTACTGTCTTTTTCTGTCCACTTACTTTGCAGTTCCTGTCATCAGCAGTGGTTTCATCAAACTCTTCTCCCAGCTTGAAGGAGATCTCTGTGTTCTTGAAGGTGCTCTGGGTGCGGATCACAACCTTGTCTCCCTCCTGGCTGATGATGACAGTCGGCTTGGTCACATTACCCACCTGCCTGGTGGCAAAGCCCACGCCTGAGAGAGGAACAGAGGAGAACAAAGCCTGTTAACGCAACATTTCATTTGTAGTTGGCACAAAAACAATGAAGCAATGAAGCGTCTAACCTGATGCACGGCAGTTTTTCTGCCTTCATTTATTACATTTGTGCACAAATGAAGGAAGACAAAAATGAAAAGAAGGCTGTTACTCACCAAGTGCTTTCATGTACTCATCAAAATTCTCACTGTCAACCAGTTTCCAGGTGGCGCAGAAAGAGTCAACCATGATGAAGGTTTTAGAGAGGCAAAGTTATCTCCAAAGCACAGTGAGCAAGCTGCAGCTTGAGCAAGTTTACCCTCTTGTGTTATTTTTCTGCCTCTTATTATTATGCACACAAGTGGGCGGCACCAAGCGTCCCATTGGCTCAGGAGATTTGCACTGGCTTGTGATTGGGTATTTAAAGTGGGTCATGTATTTAGAAAGAAAAAAAAAAGTTAAATTAGCCCATTTGTATGCATAATGATGCAATTACTCTCATTCATGGCTGTCAGTTGGGTTTGGTGAGGTGATGCTCAGGGAAAGAATAACAGAGAGTGAAGAATACGAATCTAGTTTTTTACTTGCATTTCATCAAAATGAGCCACAACTTTAAATGGAAACGTACCACCAAAGTTCTTTCTGAGTTCAAAGTTTGTCAGAAAAAGACTATGCTGTGAATTCTCGGCTTTGGAGAGCAGACTCAGACTGCTCTTTTCTCACTCAGATAGCGAAGTCTTATGAGCTAATCCATATTTATGTTTCAGTTAATTTCCTCCCCTGTTGGTCTTGTGTTGGAGACAGGCCTTCTTGTGTCTGGAATGTGTCCTGTAGGGGAGCGCCAGTGAAGCAGAATCAGTTTGTTTGACAGCCCTTTGTCCTTAACTACATTAACAACCCCCCACAACTGCAATTTCTTCATGCTCAACACACACATTAATTACTGTGACTAAATGTCTATGTGTGTGAGAGAGAGAGAGACAGTGTGTGTGTGTGTGTGTGTGTGTGCAGCTTTCTCACACCCTGTAGATGTACGTTAGTGTCATATCTGGTACAAGATTTGCACCGAGTGAAGTTTAGTGATTAAAAGAGGCAAACTGTGTCTTATTTTGACAAGTTGCAGCTGACATTATCCACAATATCCTCATTTATATATGATTTACAGACACATATTTTGGTCGTTTCTTTGAAAAAGTTAAATCTTCATATTAAGTATTAGTCTCACATGATGTTAAAGTAAATCAAGCTAAATATTTGCAGCTCTACGTGTATCACTGTGATTGTTTATGTGGGATAATGCATGTATTCTGTCAGATGTCTTTTCATAGGAGAAGTACTTCATTAGTTGTAAATTTTAGATACTAATACTAGATGTGTTTTGTCATATCCGAGTGAAACAATATACATTTACTAACTTGACTTCTCTGGTAGTTTCTGTTTAGACACGCCTATAAAATCAATTCTCTACCTTTTTCCTTTTTCTACATTCTTCTTAAATCTCTATTTACTTTCACTTTTTTTCTTGTTCTCTACTGAAAGAGCCCTCTGTCTTCTCTGCTTCATCATCTGGCTTGTTAATATACCTGCAGATACCTGCAAACATTTTACTGCTGCAGTGATGTTGCAATAAAACAAGTTAGCGCAAAGATACAGTGCGGGATTTGATCTGATAATGATTCGGCACCACAGTCTGCTGCTGTCTTGGAAAGATTATCACACAGTGTGCTCAAATGAGAACAATCGTATTTTGGTTTTGTTTTCACTGTCACTAAAACTTCCAGATCATGAGCTAAAGCTGCTGTAAATACTCATACAGATTATTAAATCTACAGTCTTCTGGACTCCTCCCAAAAACAGGGAACACTCTGTTAGCATGATGGAACTAAATGGTTTTGGAGGGAGAGAGTCAGTTATCACATATTACTACATGCATGAGTGTCTGCATACTTTTGGCTATGCAGTAATAGGAAAAAAATGCATAAAGCACCTCTAAAAACAGAGTTTATAAAGTAGTGTGATAAACAAAGCCAAGACAAAGCATGTGGTGTGGAGGGAACATGGGAGTGACCCCCTGATGTTGAAGGATCTCTGGCGCCACTCTGTGGTTACAATTAGCACAGCAGAGAGCTGCAAATAGTCCAAGCTGCTTCTTTGTTAACATTTGCTAGATAGATAGATAGATAGATAGATAGATGTCAGGTTAAAGAGGTTAAATCGCCTTAAAGCAGTGAGACAAGTGTTAAAGTCAGCTCTTTTAAATGTTATATTTCTTTTGCAAATGTTTATTTCTTATTAACACATCAGATAATAAATTACTTTGTCTTTTATTTGATCTACAATTTATTATTGATTATTAAAATGTCTTGATACTTGTGTTCCTCCACACAGTCAAATCATCAAAGTTATTACAGTTTTACAATCTAGTCTAATCAGTAAACAAGTTTTGTGGGAATCTCCACAGAGGCACGTTCCTGATGTGACTGCAAAGAAAAACAACTTAAAGAACCCGACCTTTGCAGGATTCATGGAAAAAGATCAAACACATTTGTGCTACATTGTTTCAGTTGTAACAGTGGCATGATTCTAGAAGAGTTGTGGATAAGAGTTTGCTGAATAAATGGTCTGCACTTATGTAGCATCTTTCTACTTAAGTGGTACTCAAAGCGCTTAACAATGTTTTCTCATTCACCCATTCACACATCAGTGGTGACAGAGCTTTCATGCAAGGTGACTGCCTGCTATTAGTAGTAACTTCAGGTTCAGTGTCTTGCACAAGGACAATTTGACTGTGCAGGGGATCAAATCACCATTAGAGGACAACCACTCTACCACCAGAGCCACAGGTGACATTGTGTGATAATGAAGTGCGATTTAGTCTTTGTTTTTTTTTTTTGTTTTTTTAAGTCATTGATTGAACACCTAACCTCTGTGTATAAATGCTATAAATGTTTGTGGACACATTCATGGTCCCCATGTGACGGTTCGTGCTCGGTGACTGTGCGGCGGACCCAAACGAAAAGGGAGACGGGGAGAAGGGTTAAAGGAAACAAGATTTATTTAGGGAAGGTGGTGGAGTGATGGGCACCAGGAGGCAGAAACATAGTCCGGTGAAAGGGTGCCGGTCGTGGGGGGTGCCGAGGGTGGTGCGAGCAGGTCCGGTGCTCGTGCGTGCCTTTGTCTGTGGAGGTTTTCCTGGTGTAGAGAGGGAGCCGTGAAGAGGGAAACCAGGGTGGTGCGCAGGGGTCCGGTGCTC